TCTCTATATATATATTTTATTTTTTATTCATTGTATTTTCTATTTTTAAAAATTATATTAATTGCTTATGATATCATTTCATTTCTAGGTAGATTTTAAATTTGGCATTCCATTTTCATTAACAAAAATACTTCTTACATTTCATGCTTATTTATTTTAAAATTTTTATTATTTAATTATAGACTTATTTATTAATCCATTTGACTCCAAATGATTGAATTGCTTGCCCACCACCGGGAGGGAAGAAAATATTTTTATTTCTAATTGATTTTAAATTTTACATCCAATTTCCATTATTAATAAAATCATTTCTTATTTATCATACTTATTATTGTTTAGTATGCATGTTAAAAATGTTTCCAATTTTTTAATTTCTAATTTTTTAATTTTATTATTTAATTGTGGCAAGATGGCTTAACCCATTTGACCCAAAATGGTTTAATTTCTTACCACCACCTAGATGAAAACTCTATTTTTTCTAGGTATATTTTAAAAGTATAAGCTTTTATGTTATTGGAATTATTAATTTATTAAGTATGTATTTAATTAATAAAAATTAATGATGAGAAGAAACAAAAATAATTTAAATATAAGATTCATTGAACATGAATGCAAGTTAGTAAATTAAATATTGGATTTATTGGGAAGGAGTTGAATGCATTGAATATCATAAAATCACCTCATTTTAGCTCATTTAATATCAATAACTAATTACCCTATTTGTCTTCACTTTTTATCAATAAACTTAAATGTAGAGGGGTAAATTTTGTCCTCAAAAAAAATTCAAAATTATTCTTGAGGTCGTGCTTGCCCGCCACCTATTAAATTACTTTTCAAAATATTTATTTTTATACTATTAAAATTAATATTATGAATTTAATTACAAAAATTTAAGGATGAGAAAAATATATCTTAAATATAGGATTTAATGAGAGAGAATGGGAAAATATTTTTATATCTAATTGGTTTTAAATTTTACATTCAATTTCCATAATTAATAAAAAAATGTATTATTTATCATACTTATTATTGTTTAATATGTATGTTAAAAATGTTCTCAATTTTTTTTTAATTTCTAATTTTTTCATTTTATTAGTTAATTGTGGTAATATTGATTATCCCATTTGACCCAAAATGGTTTAAATTCTTACCACTACCAAGATGAAAACTCTATTTTTTCTAGGTAAATTTTAAAAGTATAAGTTTTTATGTTATTGAAATTATTAATTTATTAGGTATGGATTTAATTAATAGAACTTAATGATGAGAGGAAACAAAAATAACTTAAATATAAGATTCATCGAACATGAATTTAAATTAATAAATTAAATATTGGGTTTATTGAGAGGGAATTGAATGCATTGAATATCATAAAATTACCTCTTTTCAACTTATTTAATATCAATAACTGATTACCCTATTTGCTCTCACCTTTTTATCAATAAATTTAAATATAGAAGGGTGAATTTTGTCCTAAAAAAATTTCCAAAAATATTCTTGAGGCCGTGCTTTTTAAAGTAGTATAGATTTATTTCATTTTATTAATAATTTTTGTGTAATTATTTATTAGTGGAATTTAATGATGATAAACAAAAATATAAATGTTGAATTCAGTGAGAGAATGTGATTTATTTAATGATTTAAATGTGAGAATTAATGAGAGGTAATTGAATGTATTTAATGGTATTCTTTAAATAACATTTTCTTCCCTTTCAATGGAGATGAGTTAAATTCAAGAGGAAGGGTATTTCAATAAAAAAAAATTCAAAAGCCAATATCTTTTCATTCACACTTTTATAAGTAGTTTTTATATATATATATATATATATATATATATATATAAACTTTTAAAAGTGGGTGTTAATTTTTTCAATGTTAGGTTGAGCGTATTTTAAGGGGCTTACTTTGTTGTAACTACCTGATCCAAACCGCGACCAAAGGGCTTTAGCCTAGTGCTATTTAAATTATTCAAGTCAAAGTTCCCAACGTGAAACCCAACCCGTGATACTAAAAAAATTATAACCATTGAGAAACCGATGTGAATTTGAATGACTACCAATAGTGATTGATTGGTTTTCAGTTTCTTAGGTATGATAATTGACTTCATATATTCAACGTCTATCTAATTACTCATAAAATGGCATTTCATCATCTAGTAAAACCATTGATTGTCATTATTGTTTACTTCAGAAAAATTAAGTAGTTCTTTTGTCGTATTTTTCTTCATATTTCTACTTTTTTATGAAGCTAGAAACATATTTTTCTTCATTCCTGAATATAAATAATCATTTTTTATTTTTATTCATAACTAATAAAGTTTTGAACAGAAAGATGGGATTTATAATAGATTTAGGATTAAGTAGAGAAAACTTTAGAAATAGCAAAAATAAGTGGATAGTCTTTCTTTCTTTGGCTACAACATAAATTGGAAGAAGCTATATATGGAACCGAAGACATATCCCTCCAAAATTATTGGTCCTTCTATGGAGGTGTGCCCCTAATTTACTTCCCACTCACTTAGAAATTGCAAAAAAAAAAAACCCAAGAATGATTAACCTATCCATTCTTTTATTTTTTAAAAAATAATATCTAAGAAATGGATACTTTCTATTAGGGGGTTTGGTTAACCGAATCGTGGGGTTTTTTTTGAATTGGACCAATCCGATCATTTTTTTAAAATATGAACCGAAACCAACTGATGTAAATGGTTAACCGGTCCACTGGTTAACTGCAATTCGGTTTTTTGGGTTTTTTACTTAAAATAAAAAAAAAAGAACAAGCAAATCATGGCAGAGGGGCGAGCTGATGAGGGCAAAGTGGTGACCGATGATTTGTTGGTGTCGGACTGATTGGTGTTTGTTGTCGCCTGAAGTGAAAGCCTGAGAGGTGGTGGAGCTGCGAAGATGAGAGATGAGAGAGACAGAGATAGAGGCACAAAACTTGGGAGGTGGCGGTCCTGGTGGAGTCGAGGCGGCGACCGATGTTGCATGTTGGCGTAGTGGAGACGAAGATGATAGGCAACACTGCAACAGAGACTCAGAGAGAGAAAAACTATTGGTGACGACTAGTGCTAGAAAAAAAACTGGGGATTGCCGGATTGGGGAAGACTAAGAGACAAGATGAGAGAGTGAGAAAGGGAAAACTGGAAACTGGTTTAGGACCTTTAGGTTTTGATTTTCAAAGAAGGAAAAACTGAAAACTTGAAAACTAAAAAGGCGAGTGTGCCGTGTGTGCCCAGATTCACTCGACCTCGGTGAGTGTGCATGCCTGATATTATTTTATATATCAAGCGGACAGGCCACTGAAAATTTTGACCATTTTAAATCAACTTTAAAAGTGGGAAAGTGGGAAAAATAAAAATATAATATATATAATATATTATATATTATTGTATATATACCGGTCAGTTCAGTTAACTGCCAAATTTTTATAAGGTTAATTGAAATCGAATCAAAATTTTCGATTTTTTAAAAATATCAAACCAAAATCGAACTGATCGATTAGATTAACCGATTTTTCAGTTCGATTTTCCGTTTTTTTTCTCACCCCTACGTTCTACTCTCGAAAATAAGCTTTCTTCCTTTAACACGCATCTATTCACTTTCATAAAAAAAGTGAGAGTAATTAACTCCGCTAACTCCGCTCCCATAAAAAAGCTAAGTTTAGATACACGGCTGTCCGTAAAAAAAGTATCCAGTCCAAGCTGATTTTAAACGCTGGCCTACCTATAAGAAAAATATTTACTCCAAAATATGTGGGCCCATATTAATCTTTGTAATTAAATTTTCTAATTCAAATGAAAGAGACATTATATTATTTTTAAATTATAAATTAAACCTGATTTAATTAGTTAAATTAGATAATAAATTCAAGTTACATATAATTTATAAATAGTGGTGAAATCTCAAACAAAATAACATTTTTACAAAAAAAAAAAAACAAAATGATACGAAAGTTTAGTTGTTCGTACGGGCGGTCATTGTATGATATATTGTTATATGGCAATTTCACAAAATTGATTTGGTTTGGATCCACGTTGACCGTAAGGCTTGAAGAAGGTTTTGCTTACTTATCCCATTGGATTTTCCATATGGTTGTGGAAGGCAACCATTATTAGAACAATACTGAGATATAGACGAAGTAATGCTATTTGCTGCAATGATTGGGTTGAAGTTAGTTATAGAGATGTCAATTGAACGGTTTTGGGTTGGATCTAAACCCATACAAATCTTTTCAAGTCGGTTTTGGACAATCCAAAATAAAATCGTCCGTATAGTTATTGGTTTGAGTCGGTCCAAAACCAAAACCCAATAATTCAATCGCCATTTCGCCAAATTCTACCGATTTGAATCAAAACCAAAGAAACCTTTGAAGGCTCAAAGTTCTAAATAACCTGTTCAAACGTTCGGCCACTCTTCTCCGGCGGTCGTGGCTCTTCTCTTCGGTGATTTAAAGCATCTCTGTGGAAAGCATTCTCTCCGGTTGTGGCTCTTCTCTTCGGCGGTTCGAAGAGGTGGTGGACAGAGGAGATCGAACCTTCATCCACCGAAGCTTTCCCACTTTTTCCCTCCCCCTTTCTCTCGTTCTCTCCCTCTCTCGTTATCTTATCAACCCAGCCGACCTAGCTTCCTCTCCCCTGTAATTGTCGTCCCAAATGAACCGCTGCTGCAACTCCTAGTAATGGCGGCGTTCTTCTCTCTATCGCTATCTTTCTGTTCTCCTTAGTTCTTTTCTATTCTCCCTCTCCCTCTCTATCTTTCTCTGCTGTCGTTTCTTATCATCTTCTCATCGGTGCATCAGTAGAGGTACAGCAGTGAAGGTCCCTTCCGGTTCTCACTTCATTTTGAGTCGGCAGTAGCAGAGATTGTTCGAATTCTCATCGTTATCATCTGTTGAAGCTCGTAGATTAATATTTGCCTCGCTGTTATTTACCATCCTAACCGCAACCCAAGAAGATTCCCTCCGTAGTAGCAAAGATCGAAAAGGAGTGAAGCCATTTTTCATTCTACCTCAGTCATCATCGTCGTCCAAGACGAACCGACAGAAACCAAAGAAGCCTCCCCTGTTGCATTGACCAACCTCAGGCCAAAATTCCGAACCAGGTAAGTTCTAGTATATCTTGTAATCCTTTTGATTTGTCTGACCTACAACAACCAAGAATATCAAATGAAATCCATTTGATCGACCTCAGTTGTCTGACCTACGACAATTTAATTACAAAGTGAATAAGTAGTCAAATTACAAGGCACATACCTGAACCAACCTCAGAAGTGCATCACGGACTTTGTCTCTGTTAATAACTGGGCCATAGTTTGGAGCAGGAGCAGGAGCAGGTGCAGGAGTAAGAGATGGGGGTGGAGTGGGTGGTGGAAAGGGTTGAAGCAGCGGAGTACCATATGGGCACTGCAGATTTACAGCAGGATGAAGAGGAGGAGCAGTTGACATAGATGAGATAGGTGACAACAATGCAGATGAGGATGGAGGAGGTGTAAAAAATGAAGAGGGCTTTACAAGATTAGTAGCTCGGTTACTGCCATTGGATTCAGTTGTATCAAGGAGTGGCATTATAGGAGTAGATGAAGCTGGCAAAGCAGATGGCATTTGTAGGGCTGGCACAGGAGAAGGAACAACACTAGGAGTGTGGGAAGACAGAGGGATTGTTGCAGAAGACTGGTGAAGCTGTCCTGAAATTGCTCCACCAGGAGTGTTCCCTATGTTCATAGCCGCCTGTCACAACTACATTAAAAGGATTTCCAATTGTCAGATACAGGCAAGAAAACTAAGCTTGCATGTGCACCAAAAACAAACTGAAGGATAGATAATGATTGTAAACAAAAAAATCCAGAATGGGATTTCATATAGAGGAAAAATCAATTATCACTTATCACATTGCCATCTTGCAGAAAAGGGATCACTGTAGGATGCAACTGGAACATCCAATCCATTATATAATTTCATAACTCCATAAAGACTTCCTTCCATTCCAATCTGTATTAGATTTTTGTGTTTCATGTAATGATTCTAATTATTTATTAGCAGAAAGTGCTATATCCAATGTGACTTTTACAGTTCACATAACTCTTTTTTAGTGGTCCCCTTGTGCAGGATTAAACTTTGATGGATGTTGTTTTGTAAACCCAGGGGCTTCTAGGGTGGGCGGAATTCTAGACAATGTGGGCAATGTTATTCTCAGCTATTCAGGTCTGGTTGGTCATGGGAATCCCCTCATTGATTCAAGGCCTCAAATTACTGAAGATGCAGGATTTGAGCAATGTGCAAGTGAAAGGTGACTGTCAAGTAGTCATAAGCTGGATGGCCCTCAGCTTTATCTGAGTGATAACCATAAGTTATTTTCTAGTGGAAAGTGTAAGAAAACTTCAATGATAAAAATTTTTTATCATAGGACAGTTGGTGCTGGACCTTTGGAGCAGTTTTTTCATAGGACAGATTTCATCCAAGATAGGCAGAGTGACATTTCAGCATCATCCATATGTAACCCTCGACTTATTCATAAAACACACAGGCCTGAAGTTAGAACATGTCCACTGTAAATATGGTTAATTTCGACAAGCCTATAAGTGTAGTTAGGATGATCAGGACAACTCAGTTGTCTTGACATCCATTCACAGTGGTTGATGAGTATGTGTAGCCAATTTCCATTCCAAGTATAGAAAAGAGAAATAAAGGAAGAAATGGAGGTGGTGGTGGTGGTGGTGTTAGCAGGGTAGGGTGTTCAGGTAAAACAGAGGTGTTCAAATGGATTGAATTGTTTTGGGTATAGGTAAGATCCAAATTTGGTCCAATTATATGTGGAATGCAATAATTGAATAACATAAACAAAAGTAAAACTGAAATGATCAAAATATTATATACCAATAACACGATGAATTAAAAATGATTTTGATATTATATACCATGAACAAAATGAAATGAAAATAACTTGTATGAGACTTTAACCTAAAGAGTTTTTAATAAAACTGTAATTTTCAAACCAAATTTACTATAAAACCGATAAGGGTGGGATTCCTATTTCATCCAATTATAAATGAATTTAATTAATTCAGATTATCTTTAACTGGATGAAATTTGAATTCAGACAATCAGATATGATTTGAAGCCCTAGTAGCTAGTTTGGTCATTCAAAATAGGTGGTGAAGGAATTTTAGTAATTGAAGAACTCCATTTAGTTAGTTTGAATCCTCTGAAGTCTGAACTATATATATATATATATATAACACAACATTGTTATGACCCCAAAACATGCTAGGTAAGAGCACTGTTGTAATTGTAATTTGTTCATGGTAAGAGAAATTATCTTGGTTCCCACCTAACTTGACAGTTCAGATCTCCTATTCATAAGACCCCTACCCATGCTTCACTATAGTTGTACATTGAGAACATTTCCGGTATTTGTATGTTACCATTTATGAAGAGATGTTGCCAATGAACAACTATAGTGTCATGTCTCATGTGGGTAGAATTCTTGAATTCATGTGGACATTGAGTTAGCACAATATCTTATAGAGCTCAGGTTTTCTTTCTTTCTTTATTCATTTTTGCTTTTTTTTTTTATCCAGTGCGTCTTGTGTGCTTGGGTGGTAATGATCAGTTGAAATGATGGCCCATCAATTGAATGGATCGAGCTTGATGCATGTATAGTTAGTTTTTCCCCCATTTTAATAATCCATCCTCTTCTGTGTTATCTTTGGAATTTAGCTCTGTGAAGAACAAAATGCTTTGGTGGCAGCACTGATGTACCTTTATGATCAGGATGATCAGTGCCTTAGTTAGACTCTTATGCCTCAGTGGGATGATCTGCTGTCCCAAAGCACAGCCAAGGCAATACGTTTGATAGCCTTCAGATTGGAATTTTGGAACAGGTGGTGGGACCCACCAGCTATTCAAAATTTCAAATAGAATGGGGACTTATTGCTCATTTGCTTCTATACTCCTATGCTTTGAGATTGAGATATTCACATCAATCACTACTAGAACTAAGTAGAATGCTTGGCTTGTGCACACAAGATGTGTCCAAAGGCCAACTATTTTTTTCAAGAATTCTTGAAACAAAACCATTTCTGTAACTTTTTCACATTTTCTGAGTTTTCAAGTATTTTTTGAATTTTCATTTAGTTTGGACCGGACCCAATCCAATCCATTTTCATTTCAAATGGACTGGATCCAATCCAGTTTGTATAGATTTGGATTGGATTTGGTCCAGTCCATTTGTAAATGGACCAACGTTGGATCGGATTGGACTGGACCAAATCCAGTCCAATTGACACCCCTAGCTACAAACCAAATAGAGTAGTGAGTTATCACCAATAAGTGCACCAATTCTGGCCTGGTAGTCTTTACGTGCACCATCAACATTTAGGTGGCATTTTCAGACATTTGAAGTTTGAAAATGTTTCTTTTTAGATGCCACCTATGTTTGGGTTGAGTCTGAAAATTCAGATTTGAAATGCATGTTTAGATCTGAATTTATAACAGGCAGACCAATGACTTAATGTGCTCATACGTTTTTCAGACCGTGTTAAAAGACAGAAATGCCCATCATCGATTTCCCTCACCCTCTCCCACTCTCTCCTCTTGTCTTCCAGCCATCACTGCTACAACTCTTAGCAGTGGTGTTTCCCCCCTCCCCCCTCTCTCTCTCTCTCTCTCCTTGTATTCTCGCCACCGCCATTGTAAAGAGTTATTGTAGCGGCGTTCGATTTCCCACAACCTCTCTCTCTCTCTCTTTCTCCCTATTCTCGCCATCGTCGCTGCAAAGAGTTGTAGTGGCATTCAATTTTCCACACCCTCTCCCTCTCCCTCGCCCTCCCTCTCTCTCTCTCTCTCTTTCCCCTTGTCTTCCTGCCACCGCCGCTACAACTCTCAGCAATGGTGTTCCCCCCCCTCTCTCTCTCCCTTATCTTCTCGTCACCGTTGTTGCAACTCATAGTAGTGACATTCAAATTTTATTCATAATAATTTATTATTATTTTAATTCTTAATAATTTGTTTTTAATTTATAAATTCAAACATATTTCCAATTTTATTCTAATAAATTATTTTTTATAATTTTTATTTGTATTAATTATTAATTATTTGATTTTTTTTTTATTTTTTTAATAGTTTTATAGGTTTAACTTAATAATTTGATAGTTATTAAATATTGTTTTCATTGTTTCATGGACTTTATTACTATTTTTGTTATTATTTTAACTTTTTAATAATTTATTTTTAATTTATAAATTTATATATTTTCAATTTTATTCTTATTTTAATAATTTTTTAATTTTTTTAATTTATCATAATTTGTTTCATATTTTCAATATTATTTTGAATTTAATAAATTATATTTTATGAAATAGTACAAATTGAACTCAAAATAACCAAATAGTATGTTCTAGGGGTAAAATAGTAAAATTAAGGAATTTTAGATGTTGAAGCTTTGATCCAACAGAAACAACCTTCTCTTTTTAGAGCCTCTAAAAAGTTGAAAAGCATCTATGTCTCTTTTCATATTTCATACGCCATTAATATCTTTTTAACTTTTCAGATTTCAGATTTATCAAACGCCACCTTAGTTGTACTAGCCTAGGGATGTAATCAAGTCGATTCAAGGCAAATATCAGGCTGTTTGAGCTTGACTCAAAAACATAAAGCTTGAAATTCGACTCGAGCTCGATCAAGTTTCATGTATTTGGCTTGAACTTAACTCAAGTTGATACTCATGAGCTACTTGAGATCAGCTCGATTTGAGTCAATTATAAATAAAAATATATTAAAAATTATAGAAGAATTAATATTATAAATACTATAAATGAAAATATATTATGAAAATCAATTATAGATGTATTTATTTATATTATAAATATGTTAATGCAAAAAGTTAATGTTTATTTACATTATAAATACAAATAAATTAAAAAATAGTATTTTATTATGAGCTTGACTAGGCTCGTGAGCTACTCAAGCCAAGTATTGCAAAGCTCAAACTTGGTTTGACCAACTACCCGACTTGAGTTAAGCTTGACTTGAACTCGATTACTATGAATCAGAGTTTGAGTATTTAGCAAGTAGAGCCCGAAGCTTATGAGCAAACACTTGTTTCACTTACATCCCTACACTAACCTGAATACGGACGTAGAAAATTAGATGATATTGCTAAGGCTGTGTTTGGAAATGATGCAAATAAGTGTGAATGCAAATATGTAGTGTAAAATGGTTCATATAAATTGCAAAATTGGGTTAGTTTTGCATTGACAAATTTATCTTCTTACCAAGACTTTTAGCTATAATGGATGCAAACATGAATTCCAATAAAGCATATGCTTTTTTTTTATCAAAAGTCCACTTGAATGCAAATTTACTTCATTTTTATTGATGTACTTTTACATCTTATTATCAATGTAAATATGCACTGGTTTGTCATTTGTCAATGCATAAATGTAATGGTGCCAAACATAGGCAAAAGTGAACCAAAGTGAAATTTACCCTGAACTACACTCCATTTGCATTATTTCCAAACACAGCCTAAGGAGGTTCCATAGTGAGCAATCAAGCTCTATTGGAGACTTGGAGTCCACTCTGTGTCCCATGGCGTTTACATCGTGCTATTAGGGATTGCAAAGCACCCCTTCCCTCCTTTTCTCAAATTGAGATTAACCATGAATTCAGAGATGCTAATATGGTTGTTCACTTATTGGCTAAACAATCTCTTAACTACACTG